TAAAGGTGCTACAAGAGAGTAACAAACACAAAAAAAGAAGGAGGAAAGATATGGACGATAGATGTTTGATAAGATCGAAAGAAGGAGCAAACCACTCTGGAGCAGCCGCCAACCACCCGCTAATAGAGAGTGAAGCCCGGCATCTGTGGTGTAGCCGATAGACAGTTCCCCATTGCATACAGAAGACGTGACTTCAAATCCCGAGCAAGGAGTCATTATTGTCAACCAGTATCTCCGCCTGTCTGCTTATATGCTGTAGATCTATCCCGCCCCTGATAGACAGGTGCAGCAGCCCGCTTCCCAAATGATCTAAATTGTGCCCATTTTTATTTTGAAAGGGGGGGGGTGTAACCTTGTTGTTTGTTTTGTTTGAGTAGGTGTTTTACGGCACTATCAACTCAATTTTGGTCATTTGGGCGTAACCACAGCTAAGATTACAACAACAGAATGGAGGCGCCGGAGAGGCTGACAAACATATCTGAACACTGCTTGAACAAAACTCGAAACCCACTCACCTTTATCATAGTTATCCGCACTAACATAGGAAAATAATCCTTCAGATAATATCCCTTGTACTATCGATGTAGCCTAATTCTTCACATTTTTATACGTATGACCAAAGTCATAACAACAGGCTTTACATGTCCGTTGATACGAATCGCTCCGAATTAGTACCGAAGGAATGAATCACAGCGTTTTATGACCCTTTCAAAAGTTAATTTTAAACAGAAAACAGATATCAAACGATCCGAGTACACTAAAATATGGGTATGTTTCTTTTTGTGCCCAACAATCAAGAAGGCTTCGACAACAGTTAGTCGTGTAATAAGTTCCCAATGAATAAGACCTCGTGCTGACACCTTCGCCGCTGTGTTCAACAGGACTTACGACTGTCGCAGTATGAGGTAGAGACAGAAAAGACGGGTGAGGGAGAGAGAGCGGGGGAAATGTGTCTTGGTGTGTGAGAGAGAGAGAGAGAGAGAGGGAGAGGGAGAAGGAGATCAAGGTGGGATCGGTTCGTTAAAGGTTCAGTTGTGCTTGTAGCACTGGAGCGTGCGAAGGGAATGCAGGACATTCAGCCCCAAAGCACACGCAAGGGTATAGTTTGCTTTGTAGTTGAAGGAGATAGATAGATAGATAGACAGAGATA